GACTGTGTAATGCAAATGTATTGTATATACCCTACTAACTAAAACCTAATGTTAGCTTAGTTAGTCAAACTATGCTTATAGGCCAGGTATCGTAGTACATTAAATCAGGAGCCACCTGTCAATCAACACCTTCTAGAAGCTCTACAATCTTATTATTGGACCAATAACCTCCAAAATGACCAACAGTACTTTTATTAGGACCTGAAAAATACTGACTTCATACTGCTAGAGAAAGGCCGATACCTTTAGAACAGGAGTCATTTGGAGCCAGCGTTCAGTGGCTGTTGGTAGTTGTTTGAGATACGTCTGCACTGCCTCCAGTCATAGCTGCTGCCTGGTTGCAGTCAGTTTTGCCTTTGACAGAAAATGTTTGTTTTTGAAGTAAGTTTATTTATTTATTTTGAATTTTCCTGAAAATCAGACCTTCATGTCTCTGCACCAGCATCAAGCAGCCAAAACGAGCTGCAGGGGTTTTTATTTCAAATCCAGTCCGGTTTCCAAAGCAACCAGTTCTTAGGGTAGGAGGGGAAAAAATGAAATATGAAGCAGTAATAGCAGAGCCCAGATCTGTTGTTTACAATGTACACATTCATCAGGGAGATTATCTCCCTGAAGCCCCTCAAACTAAACACAGCAGAAGAGACAGTGGGGACCAGTTGTTTGTGTGTGGACAACGGCGTGACACCAGCTGAGGAGTCTGTTTACTGAGCTGAAGCCACATGATGCTGGTGCTAAAATCTGTTTTCAGATTCAGTTTTATCCAGGGAAAGATACGTTTTGTTTCAAAGGATCAAAAGCCTGTGATAAATTATAGAGTGTAATCGTTCAGCAGCAGATTAACACACAAAATCGACAGAACAACGGTGTCAGCACTTGGCCCATTATTATCATTCATTTTCATTTCAAGTGCCTGATTGCGATCCATCAGGTTTTTCCGAGCTACATGCAACTGAGGGTTGGTGCTACCCCACTATAGAAGCTTTTGGTAACTGCCAAAAACACCTGAAGAAGAGTAATTTTAGCTGATTAGTTACATTAAAACCATACCAGTTTAACTAGCTAACAGGCATGTGCAAACTAGCAAACACATGAATCATAGTTATGAACCATCAAACCCCCCTATTGCCTTCTGTACGGCTGCAAGTGTTGAATTTACTGGAGCTGCTTTTTCTCATTGCTTTTGATGAAAGAGAGAGAGAATGACAGCTAATTTCAGCCATTATCACAAGGGACAGTCTGTGTTTGACTGATTATTGATGTAGTTACACTTGGGATAAATAAAGATGAAGTGTCTGTTAGATGCATTTATGAAACAACAAGTGTCTGTCAGGTCAGGGCTGTAGCTCTTTAGGCATGAAATTCAGCAAGTCAGATGATTCTGAGATGCTCAGAAACAAATGGTCAGTGCAAACAGCCACAACCAAAACAGGAGACACGGTATAGATTTAAAAGTGTATGGCATACACACTCCCTCGAGAAACAGCTCATAACATGCTCCAAGTCAAGAAAACAGCTTCACCAACACCAGAAGTAACTTTTTGGCTGTGTCACGATGTGTCTAGTGAAAACAGTGCAAAATGAAAAACAAGTAAAAAGAAAAAAGCAATCAGAAAAAAAGAATGAAAGTGGACTGATGAAAAAAGTGAAGACAGAAAAAGTGAATTAGACCTTTAGCTGATTGATT